ATCAGTTAAACCTAGCTGAAGTTAAGGACACCCTCTCACCAGTGATCTGGCAGGCCCCACCCTTTTAGCCTTCTGGAAACCATCAAGACCTGGCTTTTACCCAGGTGCTGGGATAGAGTGAAGGTGTTTGGGTTGGTTGTTGGGGCATCCCAAGGGGATGCCTGAGACACTGGGTTTTGGTTGCTTTTATAATTTTATGGTTTTTATAGTTTGGGATTTTTATTGTTGTTGTGAGCTGCCCAGAGTTGTGTTTTAAGATGGGTGGTCTTACAAAACTTTAATAATAATAATAATAATAATAATAACAACAACAACAACAACAACAACAACTTTGATTTATTAAATTGATTCCTATCAATAAATCAGTTAAACTTAACTGCAGTTAAGGATTTGGATGTAATACAGAATCACTTTAAGGTTATTTACTGCAACCCACTGCTCAGTGCAAGATCCACCAGAGCATATCTGACAGATGACCATTCAACCTCTGAAAAGTTGTAATGGGATGTTAGAATAACCTTGAGGAACTGGAGAAGGAGCCACAACCAAGACAACAGTCAAATAAAAGAAATTGGAGTCCAAGGCAGAAATGTAATTTGAGAAAGCATTTCAGACTTGATCCTCCCTAGTTCTCTTGAAGATAAAGGGAGGGAGGAGGGAGGCACATTCAGACTTGCAAGATTCTGTTACTGTAACCTTATAATAAAAGTAGTATTAGTATTCATAACTTTGGTTTCCTTGTCTGGTCTACCTTGAAGGGCTGGCAAAACAAAGGAGACCTCAGTATGTCATGTGGCAGCTTATTCCACTAACTGATAGCTTATCCAATCAGTATGTTCTACCTGATGTCTAGTCTGACTCTGCTTCCTTTTAGTTTTGACCCACAGGTTCTGATCCTGCCCTCTGGAGCAAAAGAGAGTAAGCCCATTCTCTATTCTGTGTGACAACTCTTCAGATAGTTCAAAATTTCACCTTCATTCATCTTTTCTGTAGGCTAGACATACCCGGATCCTTAAACTATTTCTCTTAATGACTGCCTTCTACATTATTCATCATCTTGGTAGATCTCTTCTGAAATTGCTCCAATTTGTCACAGTTCTTTTTGAATTATAGTATCCAGAACAGGACACCGTACTCTAAATGGAATCTGACCAGGGCAGAAGAGAATGGAACAATCACTTCTTGTAATCTGGACTCTGTGCTCCTTTTAATACACCTCCAGTTAGTGTTTGCCTTTTAGTGGCTGCTTTGCTTGTGCCTTATTTTGTTCTACCCAGATGCAGAATGTCACATTTCTCCTGGTAAAATTCCATTGCATTCATTTCAGCCCACTGTTCAGGCCCATCTAAATATATCTGAATCTTCTCTATTTCATCTACAATGAAATAGCTACATTAGCTACGTTTCCCAGCTATTTGTCACCTGCAAACTTTACAAGTGTCCCCGTAACTCCTTCATGCAAGCATTGATGAAAATGTGCAAGGCTGACATTCACTCAACACATCCCTCCAAACTGAATAGGAGCCATTAATTATCACTCTTGTGCATGGCCATTTAGCCAATTGTGAATCCTTCTAACAGTGTCATATAACCCATATTTTACCATTTTAACATGGGGATAGTTGACAAACTTCAAGTCAGCACCCATGCTACAGCAATGTTCAGAATCACTGGATGGACATAGAGGATGCAGACTGGGTTGTTTATGATATGAACATGGTGTTTCTCTGTACAGAAACTGAGATAAGAGAGTATCAAGAAGTTAAAGCTGCTCATTTAATCTATTGCAGGTATCAAGAATTGAATCTAATCCACAAACCAGAACTAATTTGCTTCTTGCCCAGTCAGATAATTAAGGGAAGAAAGCCCTGCCTTCTGCATAAGTCCCTTTTCCAACTGTCATCCTTTTCTCTACACTGAGGAAATGTGGTACCATATTGGCATTTCCAGTCTCTTTCTGGATGAAGTTCTCCATGTAGGATAAAACAAATAAAATGGTCCCCATCTAACCTTATATGTGGTAGCTGTCCTGCATCTGAGTTTAGGTTACCCTTGCAGGCATTCGAAAACAATAATTATTGGTTTTACCCATGCCATGTCTTCATCCTTCACAGGAGGTGATAGGATGTTCAATCAAAGCCAGATTTGCAAATGCTCCAGCTAAGGTGCCTGCTAGCAGGGCTGTAAATGCTGAGCTGTATTTCCTAGAAAACTGCCTTAGTATTGCCACAGAGAAATTCAAAAGCTGAGTTTGCAGATCATATTAAATCATAATGTGATTTGTTTGGGCTTAACATGATGCTTGAATCTAACCAGTATGGTTTATGAATCTTAATTTATCTCTTGGTATTTAGTGTTATGTGTAACAATGGTTGTTCAAAAAGAATAGTTGAAAACAAAGTCACAAACATTTATTACAGTACCATCAATGAAATCTGCTATCATTGCTACTGTACTAGCTACCATAAAGGTTAAGCATACCATAACTCCAGCATACCATAACCATAATCTGAATTTACAGTGCAATTATCTGAATGTATTTCACTATATTCAATGGTGCTTCCTCCCAGATAAGTAGACAGAATTGTAGCCTCATTATTTACCTGTAAACCCAGCGAACATGTCAACCCAGCCCAACTCTGTCCTGTTTTATAAAATTATTTTAAAGAAGTCAATTAGGATTATATTAAAAAAATTTAAAAATCTCTTATTTATGGCTGTTGCTCATTTTTAGTTTAACTTGGCTTAGTCTTTTGGGGGACAAGAACAAGCCTGTTTCAAAATTGAGATACACAGTCCAAAACTTTAACTAAGTCCCACTGAATGGCAAGGTACATGTATGTGGGTAAATTTACATGGGGTTGAAGTGAACTACTGTTGAGTATCAACTCTTATGAGAACTTAAAACAATGACTGGCATAATTATTATATAATATACAGTAAGTATTGAAGGCAAAAGGAGAAGAGGACGGCAGAGGATGAGATGGTTAGATAGCATCACTGAAGCAATGAGCATGAAACTGAGCAAACTTCAAATTGTATGTATTATTTCTAAGGCCTGGCGCAATATGGTTCATGGGGTCACGAAGAGTCGGACACGACTTAACGACTGAACAACAACAACAAATACAGTAAGTGGAACAATTGTAATACATTTCAAATGCTCTGAAGAAATAATACATACAATTTGAAAAGGCCTGGCGCAATATGGTTCATGGGGTCACGAAGAGTCGGACACGACTTAACGACTGAACAACAACAACAAATACAGTAAGTGGAACAATTGTAATACATTTCAAATGCTCTGAAGAAATAATACATACAATTTGAAGAAATAATACATACAATTTGAAAAAAAAATACTCATAGTATTTCCATTTTTCTGGATGCACTCATATTTTGGCAAAGCTAGGAGAAGGTTTTTTAGGTATCTTACTTTCATTTGACAGGAAAACCAAAGTTTCCATTCTCAATATTTATTTTAGGATACTTTTACTGAAGCCACTAGATTATTTTGATGTGTTTTCACATGTCCCTCTTCCAGTTTTAACCCCGAGAAATTAAATTGGCTGGACCAAGAAAATTTAGGAGTGAAATATCAAATAACAAAAAGTTTCCTTTAAGTAGTACTGACTATGAGAAAAGCAGTTTAACAGCCTGCAATTCAACATGCAAACCTAGGCACTCATTGTACTCTTGTTTATCTATGGAAATTGCAAAGATTCATCTACTATCTGGAACAGAGAAAAAGACACAAAGGAAAAAACATTAATGGAGAGCCTTTAGGGAAACTATATAATATATAGCCTTCTTAAATTATTTAACAATACTTCAGCCATGGTTGGGCACAGATCTTCATAAGAACTCAGGGTGAACCTACATATGGTAATATCATGGGATTCATTAACCATAGCTGACACTGTTATGCCAGGAGGTAATTAGAGAGGATACTTGCAGAAGAGAAGCAGAGAAGGAGAATTAACCTTTCTTCCCTATCTTTTTTCAGCAAGAATTCAGACACTTTGCCCTACTCATTTGGCAAACAGATCTCTAAATCCCTAATTAGAAGGCAATTGGCATAAAGACAAGACAGAGGGATCCTGTGTTCTCTCCTCCTCACAATGCTTGTTAGCAGCAAGCTAGTTACCATCAAATTTGCAATTTTGCTCTCACCTTAGTTATAATTTTATATTTGAAACTCAGAATATTACATAAATTGGGTTTGAATAGATTGAGAGGGAGACTGAATGGGGTTTATTGCTACTTCTCAGATATGGGAATAAAATATATTTTCAGTGCTTCTCAGTTTGAGAAAAAAAGTCATGGAATGACTTCTGGTAACATATTTCAAGGAAGACCTACTTGGACAAATGCAATGGCATCCACAGGATTATTCTGATGAAAACCATACCATGAAGTTTCACAAGTTCTTCCTCTTTTGGGCGTGTGTTGTGACATCTCAACACATGTAAAAAAGGGGTGAGGTTTGTGTTATTATGCTGCTGACATCGTCGGACACCTTCTCACTACCCCGTGGCCAAATGGCTGGCTGCTGGTCAAATGGCTGGCTAAGACTTCCATTTCAATAACTCCTTCAATGGCTTTCTGTTATTCTGTTTAATAAAATTGTAACTCTTTATTAAGATGTATGTTTCTGGATGTCAGGGCAACACCCATTTCAAACATACTAACTCAAAATTATGGATACATTTTGGCTTCATCCGTGTTTCAAAGACCAGTACTGATCTACAGCAAAGTTTATGACTGCTCAGGAAGTCTGCAATCTGCAGGTGAAAATGTCTAAGCCAAAGAATGTAACTGTACTCACCAACAAGTGTTCACAAAGATTGAACAACAGACTGAGCAAAACTTCAGGTACTAATTATGCTAACTCTGATTAAAGTATTACGAAAAAACCCCTAACTGATGTTAATCTTAAGTTAGTCATACAAGGATAATATTTTTGCAATGTCCCATTCTAGATCAGTATTCTTACTTACACAGGAGAATGTAGGCAGGGTTCTTGGTTCCAAAGACATACATACTGAACTTGAACAAAACTTTCAGTGCCATCCAGCACAGAGCAGCTCACATTCTTGCTCACTATGTAGGCACACCAGTTTCTGTAGGAGAGGGAAAAAATAGAACAGGCACACCATCACAATACAGATTATTAAACTATTTGTCTAAATCAAATATGTAATAACAGATGTTTTACCCAGCACAGGACCAAAGCAAGGAAGCAATGATTTGCTTCTCCTTCCTGCCACTAGCCCAACACATACAGAATGCAGAAGATTCTGTAGCAGCAGCTCTAAGACATATGCTCTTTTGGGATGCTAGTGTGGAAATTAAATAAAATAACGTGTTGAAAATAATAAAATGTATGAGGATAAGAGCACATTCCTATGTATGTCTACTCAGATGCAAGACTGAGTTTTACCCCCAGGTAAGCAGATACAGGATTTGTGCTTTTGTATTTTGAGATCTGGAGGCAAAAATCCCTCAATCCAAAATGAGAAAAAGACTGGATTCACACACGTTGCACTAAATCATAACATGGCTTTGCTTAAGGACTAGTGTATTATATAATCCAACATTTATGTTTTATAAGCTATGGTTGATTAGTGGGACAGTGTCTGTGGGGGTGAGAACAAGAATGACACAAACAGCATCACGATGCAAACTCTGCATACAGAATGTTTTAAGTACATAGATATCAATTTAACAGTCTTTGCTTGTTGTTCTTTTTTTCTTGCTGGAATGAAATTTTCCTCATTCTCCTCATTCTAGTAGAACTCTATTCTTTTTTTTTAAAGACTAAGTATTGGCATCTGTGTGGAATTTTGCTTAAGGATATTTTGACATATTCAAGTACAACAAAAAACTAAGTGTCAGGCTCCCCTCAGTAACAATAGCCCTGGAAAAAGCATAAACAGGCATTCGAGGATTCAAGTCTCTGACAGAGTAAATATATTTATTGGTTGTTGTTTTTTTAAAACTATTTAAGTCATTATGAAAGTATTCCAGTGACCGCTATGTATAAAATGCAAGCCTTAATTATAGTGAAACTAAATTTTAAAATGTGTGTGCCTTTTTGTCCTGGCTGCATGGTGCAACAGACTGGAAGCTACTCTTTTTGGAATGGGAGGGATGATTTTCACTCATCCCTTGTTAGGGTAATGAACTAGTCTGGGTTCAAGCTTTGCTTCTTGTCTTGTGCAAACTGACCCTCACCCTATGAATCTTATAGAATCTTATAGACTTATAGAAGAATCTTACAGAATCTTATATAGAATCTTATAGATTTATAGATAGTCTTTATGAACTATCAATTGCCAAAAGTAGTCCCACAAACATGGGCATTATTTCAGTATATTCCTATTATTTGTTGTTGTTCTCAGACATGCCAGAATTGTGTAAAGAGTATGAAATGGAACCAACAAATAGCAAAAACTAAAATTACAGATTTGTTTCTGAGATTTTTATTATTTTATTTTGTAAATAATGATTACTGTCTGAAATGCTGTGGATGGCCAGAAAATCATCTAGTGTGAGGATTAATTGCTGTAGATGGGGATATTGGGGATTAAATGGGAATTATAACATGAGTTATGTTGCTTTGTTTTATTCATTTATCATCCTGTCCAAAATGAGTTATAGGGCTCTCCAAAAATGATCTAGTAACTAAATTTTCTGAGATGAAGTGTTAAGGCTCAGAGACTGAATTTGCTCATTCATTTTTTCCTGAATGAGCAAATTCCTGCAAAATGAGATCTGAGTCTAGGGCAGTTGGACACAATAAGTTTATTTGGTCTGCATGTGGTATATATATAAAAATCTGAGAAGGTGGATCAAAAACGTGATGCAGGATCAGCGAATATACAGCTTTTTCAAGTAGTCTACTTTTTAAGAAATAAGTTCTACTTGCGTTTTTAGATAAATATTCTATAGACAGGGTAAATTTCCAGTGCCTAGTGCTAGCCAAAATAATCTAGACTTTTCATCACTAGTTTTTGTATAAATCAGGAACAAAAAGTCACATGGCCCTACTATTACACATGCCTACTTGGATGACCTCCTACAACAAAGACTACAAAAAGTTCCCAAGTGGAACAACATTGAGAAAGATCAAACAAAATATAAATTTCTATTGAAATCATCACTTCAGATGTCAACACTATCCAGGTAGAATGACAAAAATGTGATAAAATGAAAGTGTAAGGAACACTTAAAGTGATCTAAGGCAGCCTTCACCAACCTGGTGTCTTTTATATGGACTGGCCTAACATATACTAGGATTCTTAGCCAAACAGGCTGAGGAATATGGAAGCTGTAGTATCACATCTAGAGAATACCAAAATGTGGAAAGCTGATATAAATTTTCACGAGTATGGGACATTAGTATAACAGAGGACCCCAGCCACTTATGGCTTCTTCATGTAACATGGTTTAGTCTACAGTGTGATTGTGTATTTTTTCATCTTATACATCTGCATGGTACCAATTCCAACTGTCACTCCTCCTTTACCCTCACTCTACAACTTCCACTAGCAAGAGGCATTCTATTCTACTTAAAACCTTTCCCCATGGCACCTAACCATGGCATGAATATGCTCCAACAGCCTTTTTTCTGCTATGTTTTTCCCCCATTACAAAAGAAGGGTGTGTCCAGCCCTCTGAATAGAAAGAATGAGAGGAATCAGACAAGAGTTTTGCTGTCCTAAAACTGCCTATATATAAGTGTCTCACTTGACAATAGATACTTGCTGGGATTTTATTGTAACTTTTATCTTGCTTATAATAAATACTATTAGAGCTCTTGGATTCTCGTTCCTTGTTTTCAGTATAGACTGCAAGGAGGGAAGCCTGACATGGTGTTCATTCTGCTTTTGAACATTGGATTAGTGCTGTTTGGGAATAGCACTAAAACCATGTCCAAAAGAACTCAACTATCAACCAATAGTTAGGCTCTCTTTAAGTAATCAATGTAAAAACAGGCCAAGTTTTGACAGACAGCTAAACATATACTGTAGTCTAACCATCAGTCAAAGCTTGTTTCCACCATAGCCCAATCCTATGATAAAGAGAAAGCTTAGTGTAAGTTTCTACCACTGGCTAGTGAATACTGGTGGAAAGAAAAACAAAGTCAAGGGAATTCACCAATCCCTGTTCTTCACGTGCCCTATACACCATAAATAAGATCGGCATCATTTGTCAGCATCATGCCTTAGTCAGATAGGGATCACCAGTGGGTGCATCAGACTTTATGTTTGTTTAGTTTTCTGCCAGTTCAAGGATGAGTTGTTAGCACTGTAATCTGACCATGGGGAACTTTCCTCAGCCACTACTGAGGACAAGCGGCCCCTCATGTTCCCGACCATCACCCACTCCATATATATTTATCAGAGAACTATGATATTAAGTGTTGGCATATGTATCAGCCACTGCAATGCTGCCAGGCAGCTGCAGGATAGATAGGAAGCAGAGATAGTTAAGAAAGGAGCAAAGGGAAGACTAGCCTGGTCCTATTCATGGGCTACAGAAACAGCAGAGAATGTTGTTCTTTTCCTGTCAGAAGAAATAATCTCCAACTGAAAAGAAGCATAACCTGGGTTTAGACATCACTCAGAAATTAATGACTGGTACAATGTCCTTATGTGATTAAGGTGTGGGTACATAAATTTGCAAGAGTAACCGTCAGCTATCAATCAATAATCCTAACTTTAACTCATCTGGCAGGAAAAAAGCACAAGAGTGTCAAAATAAGCAGATGTAACTGATTGGTGTGTGAATCTCACTGGCAGGCAAACTCTTTTTGGCTGGCTAAAAAGAAACAAGAGCCCTAAATCCATTCAGTCAAAGGCAGAATACTGTACAAATGTTCAAAATAAAGAACTGAATCACAAAATAAACGTTGTAGAAAAAATCTGCCAACTCAATTCGTACACGTTTCTATTTTGTTCGCGCTGGATAGACTCATGGAAGGAAAGGGCAGGCACGTGTGAACTGAGCCCAAGTTCTTTCGGAACCCGGCCACTCCAACAGGCCGTACTTCCCAGCCCAGAAAGTGCAGCTGACCACGTGGAGCAGGGAAGAGATTCCCCAGGCTCGCCAGTCCACCCATCCCCCGCTTTCCCATCAAGCAGCCATTTGCTCCAACTCTCCAGTTTGAGAAGAAAGTTTCAAGCCCGCGTTTGACCGCGCCTCCTCCGAGCTGTCAAGATGAGGGAGAAAAGCCGGGCTCAGCTCCTATCCAAGAGACGAGGACTCCGCTCGTCGATTTTGCGCTTCGCATTATTCACCCTCCAGCGTTGTATATGGCAGGAGAATAATGTGCAAACCCTCAAAACTCTCCGCACGCGGCCCTGAGGCAGCCCTGAAGCATTTAAATAAAGCTTCCCGAAGCACGGGGGGACTGGGAGAAGCTGGGTCGGGGGTAGAGGGAGCCTTACTTGCTTCTGGCGCCCGAGCGACTGGGACCCGCGTGGGGGGAGAGCTGGCTGAGGCAGCCTCCGAGAAACAAGAGGAGCGCCAGAGGCCAGCCGAGGGGCTTCGGGAGCAGCTCC